AATTGCGTGTTGCCTCTGGGACTCACCTCCTTGGTTGGGCTGCTGCTGGCTAGACTGTTGGCTGGACCATCGTCTCCCTGGACCGGCAGTCAAGACAACTGGACTGCTGGGTGCACCAGGTGTGTGGAGTAATTGCGGTGTGCGGATCAGCTGTGACACGCTGAGCAGCATTCGGCCACACAACAATGGAGAGGGGCACACCAGTGGCAACAAAGAAGGCTTTCTGCTGGCTGGCGTGGAAATTGTGAGCTCTGGTGTGGTGGCGACAGAGGCAATTTGGAAATTAAGATTGAGGGACCTTAGGGGTAGCGACTGGGCTGTCTTGTGACCTCCCCACAAGGAGCAACTGTATGAAGCACTTGTGAGCAATATTAAGTCCTCTCCTTGTCTGGACAGGAATTATCGAAGAGCTGATCTACTCGCCATGTCTTCATTCTGCCATGGTCAACAGTTTGCTATCTCTTCCCTGGAAATCTAAAATATGTGTTAGATGATACAACTATTAGATGGCTTCCTAGTGGCTGAATGGCCATATCCAGAGGGTGCTCATTAATGGTGCCACATCAGCTTGGAGACCAGAATGAATGAAATTCTATGGGGCTCCTTCCTGGGCCTGTGCTGTTCAACATGTTTATTCATGACCTGGATGAAAGGCTACCACATGTGCAGTTGACACAAAGCTAGGAGTGATCAACATTTTAGAAAGGAAAATGATTCAAAGTGATCTAGACTCGACCAGTTGGCTGAAATAAAACAGGATGAAATTTAACAGAAGGGAAGGAGGGAGGGAGGGTAGGGAGGAGATAGCAGTAATACATATGAAAGGGATCTTGATGTCCTTGTTCACTACAAGTTAAACATGAGCCAGCAGTGTGAGGCAGCTGCTAAAAAGGCAAATGCTATTTCAGGATGTAGTAACATATCATGAGAATTGTCCCACTTGGTCATGGTCAGACCCCACTTGGAACATTGTGTCTAGTTTTGGGCACCACAGTTTTAAAAGGGTATTAACAAAGTGTAATAAATTTGGAGGAAAGCTATCAAAATGGTGGAGAGGGCTAAAAATATAGTCCTATGAGGAATGGTTAAAGATAAGTATGTTTAGCTACAGAAAAAACTGGGGAGAGATTATCATATAGCATACACAGTATTATTATAGATTAGCAGTTTTCACATATCTAAAGGGCTATCATATTTAAGGCAACTCTGTTGCCTTAAAGAGAAGAATCAGAACTAATATTTGAAATTATAGGGAAGCAGACTCAGGTTAAGTATTAGAAGGAATTTCCAGATAGTAAGAGCTGTCAACTAGTGGAATAAGTTATCCCATGAAATAGCCTGTTCCCCTTCACTGGGTAACTTCAGTCAGAAATGCTTTAGCATATCCTACATTGAGCAAGGGTGACTAGATGATTTCTGAGATCCCCTCCAGTTGAGTCTGCTTCTAAGTGGCTCTTCTGACAATTCTATGTCAAAATGTGAATGTCATTTTGCAAGGTATATCATCCAATCTCTTCTCTCCATATGGATTCTTATCTACACTGTGTTCCGCTCTCATTAGCTGTTTGGTGTTTCCCCACTTGTTTCTTCTTTATTTCCTTTTTTAGTATTCCTTTAATACTGGATTATTGTGTCAGTTATCAATGTGTCATTTATAATCCAAAATGTGCGTTAAATTCACAGAACTATGTTGTACATAGGTTTACAACATCTTCCAGGCAACTTCCTTTGTGGTTCTTGGTTAGTTCTTATCAAATTTTCAGGTTTTTCCTCAGAAAAACACACCCTCTACAATGTCTACTTGGTGAAGAATATCAGGCTTATGGAAGCGATGAATCACCAGTATTTAAAATAAAGTGAAAAGAGTGAACACCAGGTCAAAATACTAGCTTTCGGGGCCTGCAAGCTAAGTCACAGGCAAACTCAGGTTCATTTCTCCTATGAAGGCAGTGACGTTACCAATGCACAAACCAACTTAAGCCCAGTAGGCTACATCAGAGATGCAGATCCTCGTTTCCTTGGGGGCTATGAACTGGGTGCAGGCTGCCTGAAGCCAGTGATTGGCTAAATCACACCTTTTCATGATCCAATGACTTCAACAGTCTTGTCAGGGGCAAAAATCTGTGGGTACGCTTTCCTAATTTTCCAGATGTTCACATCTGTTTCCAATTCAACTCAGCCAAACAAGTTACAGACAGCTTTCCACGTAAGTCCAATTGATATGAACTGGAGAACTGAGAGTCTCTTTCATGTCTTTTGACAAGGCCTAGCATAAAAGGGGTTCCCGGAGTGGGAACTGTGCTGATATGGAGATGCAAAGCATTCTCAGTACACTTTTCTGTACCACAATTATCAGAAAGGAAAGCAGGTCCAATTTTAAGATCCCCTGGCTTTTTTAAAATGACAAATGACTGTTGGCTTATGTTACATTCTCATCAAAACTAAAACGACCCACCTGTTGTAAAGGTTATTTGGGAAAATTGTTCAGGCACATAAAATAATTCACAGTAACATATACCAATAAAGTCAGGTGTGGGATGAGTTTATAAAGCAAGAAAAGGACATTTTAAAGACCTCTTAATAGTGAATAACAACAGCATGGCTGATTTGTGTTTAATGATTACTTATGTGTAAGCGTCTAGCTTGATCCAACTAGGGCTTACATGGCTCAATGTATGTAGATGCTGTACAGCTTACCCAAACCTAGCCAACTGCCTGAGGTGATCAATTTTTTTGATCCAGCTTGGCATAAGAGATTCCCACTTTATAATTTGAGCTTTTTGCCCATTAAAAGGGGCCTCCTCAGCAGCCTGGCCTTGGGCATGCAACTATCATAACAGGCTGTTCTGAAGGAAGTGCTGATTAAAATAAGACTGAAGTGTATGTGATTTGTAAAACAAAACATTTATTAAGTGAAACATGAGAAAATGTTTGAGAATTGCTGCCCTATGGCATATTTAGTAAAATAACAACAGGCCACCCAACTCCACCATGACTCTGGACTGTAAAACAATGAAATATAAAAACCAAAAAAGGAACCCCCAGAGAAAACAATAGGATCCAATAAACTAATCATCCCACGAGGGTTTACCTTCCACTCTAGCCCAAGGTTTTAAGGCCGTATATAAATAGGGCCTGAATGAGGAGCAACTGGATTTCTAGGGGAACGTTGTTCCAGAGGGCAGGCCCCACAAGAGACGGCCTGCTTCCTGGGTCTTATCTGTTTAAATGATGGAACCCGCAGCATGCTGATTCTGCTAGATTGTATGGGATGGGTGAAAATGACAGAAGACAGGTGGTCCTTCAAATAACAGTCCCTATGCCATGAAGGGTTTTATAGGCCATAACCAGCACCTGGTAGCAGGTACAGCTCACAGAGGTGAGACATGGGCCAGTGCCACTGCATTCTGGACCAGTTGCAGCACCCAAACAGTCTTCAAAGGTAGCCCCACATGGAGGGCATTGCAATAGACCAAATGCAGGCAATGAAAGCATGGGCCACTGTCTTAAGAGCCTCCTGGTCCAGAGATGAGCACTAGATGAATTTATGCAAAGGTCTTCCCCAAGCAGGAATTGCAAGTCCAAAAAGACTCCCAATGTGGACCTGCCCCAAATCACTGATGGCCCAAGGCACACCAGTGGCTATGCATTAAATTTGGTTTTTGTCTTGGCACAGTTCTGAGGTAAACTGAGAGGATACCAACATCAACCCTTTGCCATAATCAGATCACTCTCTGATCTCTTTGGCTTGCTACTGCTGCCCCTACCCAGGGGGGTAAGATCTATTAGATCAGTCCACCCTGGCAGCTGGGGTTCCAGAGGGAGCTTGATTTTTTCCCCTAAGGATCTGCTTAGATGGTTTGAATGAGGTTTTGGTCACTCTCTGGAATGGGCATGTGACAAGGGCCTTGTGTGTGAATGCCATAAAGATGAAATGCCATAAAAGACGCCTTCAGTGCTGTTGGAAGAAGAGTGAATCTGCCCAAGAATAAGTAAGAGCGAGCCCAATTAGGGATTACTTTGGCAATACTCAGCTGTGCATCTCAACTCCAGGTCAACCAAGCAATGCTGTCAAGGTTTGTCCCAATGTCTGAAGGCTGTGTGTGTCTGGATGGGGAGAACAGGCTCCGCCCTGACAAGACTGGCTGTGAGACTGGCGTGCTATTTATTTGTTTGTTTATTTATTTGCAGCTGCCACCCAACTCAAAATTGACTCTGGGTGGCTCACAACGTAAAAACAAAATGCCAAATATACAATTTGTCTCCATAAGACTGTCTCCATAATAAATCCCAGCCTGAAACCCGCCTGAAATTTGTCTAGATAATCTGCTTCCTCCGAAGTTCTCTTCAACTGCAGTGTTTTCAACAACCTTCCCTATAAAAAAAGGTTGGAGACAGGACAATAGTTATCTAAAATGACTTGACCAAAAACAACCTCTTGAGGAGGGAGCACACTACCCCCTCCTTCAAGGCCAGAGACACTACCCCTTCCCTTAAAAAGGCTGATACCACATCATGGACCCAATCACAGGTCACTTTCCTGGCCACTTTCATGACTCAGGAGGGGTTTGGGTTTAATAAACTGACAGCACAGAAAACCCTCTTCACTTCCCTAGAATCCAATTACAACCAAAAGGTCTCACATCTGCTTACCTGTGGAGTAGAGCCTCCAAAAGCCATTAATTTCAGGAATAACTGCCGCCCTAATTCCACGACCCCCTCCAGACCCACCCAGGTCTTGATTACACCCCAGGTTATCTCCCTGAACTATGATCAGAACATGGACAAGGACAGTCTTATTACATATGGACCTGGCAATAAGAGCAGCTAGAGTCCAGGGCCACCAAGGATTCAATAACCTGGTCTCTGTGGGACTCAGGGCCGGACAGGTCTCAACCACTAGCCTTACCATCCTGTAAGCAGCCCACCCTCAGCTTCCCCCCATAATATGAACCCATTATCATAATCTTTACACATTCAAATGAAACAGCAGCTCAGGAAATCAGTTTTTATTTATTTATTAAAAACATATGAGTTGAGAGATATATCATAGGAAAAAATTATTTCAAATATACAGATACTATTATCCAATTAGCCATTAAAGGAGAAAGAGAAATTAAAATTCATTGGACAAATTTCAACTCCCACCCCACCAAGTTTAAATAAACCTGAACTATGGTGGACATCCTTCTTCAAAAAAACAAAAAGAAGAAAAAGAAAAAGAAAAAAAGGCCAAATGCATCTAGGGGCTATTCACTTAGAAGGAAGATTTATTTATTTGCTAATCCCTGCTGATTTTTATTAACAAAAGCAAAAAGTAACAATCATAAGCTATGTGTTTGGCCTCTCTTTTCTCAATTAGGGCTGGAATTGAAGATATCTCTGTTTTGTAACAATTCCAAGGACTTTTGACCCAGGTAGACAGGAAGGCAGTAAGAGGGGACGGAATAGGTTAGGATAGGACAGATAGAAGGTACCTCTCTTATACAATTATATTACACAGGCCAGGGCCATCCCAGCAAACTCTTCATAAGCCTTGATGCTTTTGCTTTTGATTGGAGATTGAGGAGAAAAAAACAACATGGCAGAGATTAAAGTTAAATAAACTACTAGAAGCCCTATGAAAATAATGGCTATTTTTTGCATACTGTACATATTTCACTCAGTTTAACATGGTTCTTGTTAAGCATCTCAAGCCCTCCAGATATGGACTCCAACACCCATCAGCCCCAGCCAGCAAAGCCAATGGGCACTCGAGAGGATGTCATCCAAAACATATGAAGGGCATTAGGGTGGGGAAGATTGCTCTAAAGATTCAGGAGGACTAGAGTTCAAAGCAAGTGGCCCAAGGACAAAAGGAGCACAACTTAAAGACTGTAAGAGGGATTCCGCCAAGTTAAGTGATCTACATAGTTACAGGACCAATATAAATGGAAGTCAGATCATAGATTCTGCATTCACCGCAAGAGTCAGGGTCCATTTCCTACCTAGAAAAGTATCTGAAAACCACCCACTGCTCTGCTTCCTTTATGACTGTCCTTTACCCTAATGCAAGCGAGCTCTACCACGTTGGATCTGGCTCTTGTTTTATTTGAGTGTTTTCTTCAGTCTCTGCTGAATCTGTGGAGACAAAGAATATTTGGCTGCTTTTCAGCAATTCTAAGATAACTGAAGAACAAGAGACATGGAGATCTAACACTCTATTTGTCCAAAGATTAACAAATTGGAAGGGCTGCTAAGCTTCCCTGAGGTTAGTACTGTTATCTTGATAAAAAAAAAGAAAAGCAGCAAATGGGATATGATTCACAAAACACACTGAACCTATGGCATATTGCAATTCAAGAATGAGATACCAAAATATTCTATCACTGGAGCCATGTATTAATACAGTATTTGGTCACTGATTCACAATGAGAAAAGCTAGCAAGATTCTTTACAAAGGTTATACAACTGATTTAACTTTACTTTGGACATGGACATGACATACTTATCCAAATAGCAAGTGCCTTCCTCTCATTAGATCACAGACCCTTACCTTCCTCCACAGATACTTGCACTATTTGGTCTGCTTCAACTGGCTCTAGAAGAAAATACATACAAATATTTGTATTAATTCTATATTGGTAGTTAACTTTATCAACATGCCTTGACAATGATTGTAGCCTTTGAATGATTATTTCTACTCTACACGGAAGTCTCTAAATTCTCTACTATAAAAGAAGAGCATCTAAAATCGATCATTCTATTTCTACCACAATACTGCAATGGAGGATTTTGCTAATAACCATCTCCTCTCAAAATAAGTAAAAATTAAAATGTATCATATAAACATAACACAGTGATCATGAGCACATGAAACTTGAAACATAATGAGCACTAGCTTCCTTAGAAATCATGTTGGTAATTACTAAGCACACATGAATACAAATGTAACATTTACCTTGTACCACTGGCTCAGGAGCTGGCACAGTGGCTGCTGGGGCTTCTGCTTCAGCTTTATCAGCGATTTCTAGAACAAACAGGATCAGCATAATGCTTTTACCAAGCAATGCCCCTCAGAAGTACCTGAGGGTCATACTTAGAGACATAATGTTATTCTGTTTCAGTGTGCAAGCTGTTAACATGTTTTGGCAGTTCAGATAGGCAACACCAGAACACGTGTTGCTGTCTGTTTAAAATCTGAGCTTATTAAAATCGCATTCCCTTTCTGCAATAACATTTTCAGATACATTTGAACCACCTAGAATCTAGAAGCCAGTTTGCAGAAGATTAAAGATTTCACTAAAACAAAAGAATATGTAGTGCTGAACTACAGATGCTGATGCAGCCAAACTAAAATGAAAAGCAGGTACAGACAGGTAATGAAATGTTGAGAAAATTATCCTTCAACATATTGCTGAATTGCTATGTGGCATGCCAGATTGTATCCTAGGCAATGATGGATTATTTAGATACTGGGGAAAAGAGCAGAAAAAAACTCTAAACTGACCACAGAAATGACAGCAATGCATAGTTACAAAGATTCCATATATTCTATCAATGAAATACTTACGGTTGTTCATTACAAGTCCAGGGAATGGTCTGTAGGAAAACAATGTAACATTTCAATACTCAGAGATCATTTATGTAACCCAAACTTCCACTGATTTCTCGCAGGAAAGATTTTAAGTGTCAGATTTTAGAACCAACAGGAGCCCTCTCCAAAACCTATTTCACTTTCTTCTATGTTACTTTAATGCAGGCTTTCTCAACCTGATACCCTCCAAGTATATCTGACTGCAACTTCTTTCATCCCCAGCCACCAGTCACAGTGTAGAATAGTAGTGGTTAGTGTGTTGGACTAGGAATGTGGAGACCCAGGTTCAAATCTCTGCTCCAACATAGAATACCCTGGGTGACTTGAGGCCAGTCTTTCAGCCTAACATACCTTACAGGGTTGTTGCAAGTATAAAATTGAAGGGGGATAATGTAGACGGCCTTGAGCTCCTGGAGGAAAGGCGGGATATAAATGCAACAAATAGTTCAATTAATGGAGTCTAGAAAGTTCAACTGTGCTCTACCAATACTATAATTCCTAAACCATCCAACAAGTTCAGTAAGAAATATTCAACATTAAAAATACATGACCCTAGTTTTGCATCTTCATACCCAGTTCAAACTATTAATCATCATCTTATTTCCTGTTTTATTGAATTCTGTTTAATTCTTTCACTTTTGGCATATTCATTCCAATACCTAATACTGTATCTATTTTTTATTTTTTTTTTGGTTATACCCTGAACTCCCGAACGTGGCTAGTTCCATGCTAGATCAGAAGCATTATTGTCTTTTTCTAAAATTCTGTTTCTGTCTCTACCACAGGATAAATCTCAAGTAACGAAATACCTAACCCTGCTACTGAATAACATCTCTTCAAATAAATTCTTCTCTGTCTTAAACGGGGATGAGAGAAGAAACTGTCAGCCAACATTCTGACTATATTAGTTCCGAGGTGGGCTACACAAATCCTTATAGCTATAAAGCATTCTAGGCATTATACCAAAGAAGAGTTGATTTTCCAACTCTGCACTATTTAAAATGGCTCAGAATGTGAACTTCCAGGGAAAAGAATTCTACAAGGGTGAGGCAGAAACAAAATTCATTTTAGAGAGCATTCCCTCCTGATCTTTCAACACTGCCATGGGGAGCAGTAAAGAAAGCAACCTCTTAGATGTGTTTGACTTTAGTCCATTCCACAGGCCAATTGCCTATGTAGTCACCAAATCTTCTTTTAAGATGTTTGTAGAAGGCTGGGGTACTGAGGTCAGTAGAGGCTAGAACAGTGATGGCGAACCTACGACACGCGTGTCAAAGGTGACATGCCATGATGTTCTGGGTGACATGCCAGTGTTCACCAACACATGACAACTATTCTCCCTGTTTGAGTTACCAAGAAACTGAGTTTGTTTTACTTGTATTTCATTTTTGTAATTATTTGATGTTTCTTTATATAATACATAGTACCACACGACTGGATTTTATTTTTTTTTAAATAAATGAATATGTAAAGAATTTTTTCTCTTTTGTTTGCGGGGTGGGGTGTGTAACACGCCAGCAGAGTCAAATTAGGCATTTTCCAAATTTTTGGCAGGCCGAGCCCAAAAGGTTCGTCATCACTGGGCTAGAAGATAAGATGTGCTCTCTTAGCACCCTGACTGCAACTGAAAAGAGTGCTGGCTTTTCCCAGCTCTGAGGTGCTGTGGGCCCAATCCAACACCCAGATCTGCAACAGTTTCTTCCAACACACAGCTGGATTATGTAGGTTACACTAAATACTGTTGAAAACCACATACCTAATGACAGTAAATTTAATAAACTCTGCAGAATCCAGAATCTTCCTCATGGAACTGATCTCAAGATAGCTGGGAGCTTTAAAAGAGACACCAGGGGGCATTCCATCCACCACCACACAGCCAGGGTTGACAGTGATTTTTCGGTATGGGACTTTCACAGGGTATCCCATACCTATGGCTTCCCCTAACAGAAGAGAAATGGGAGCTTAACAAAGACTGCAAGTAAACGGTTCTGGGTTCAGACGTACTTCTTGAAATGCATACACATATCTTGGGTACTGTTTTATAAATGCATGAAGAATAAACAACATACTTTGAGTACAACACAGTGTCAAGAATACTATCATGAGAAAGACTTCAAATGTGACATTTTTTAAAAATAACAAGGAACCGAATATTGATTTAATTACAATGCTGATTTGTTCATTTAAGGTGGTAGTAGTGGGGTTTTTAAAAGCTCACATGACCTATTAATTTTTTTTAAAAAGAGATACATAACACAACCCAGCTGACCAGACTAAAAATCCATCATGCCCACATCCTTCTTAACATAGTAGCCACACAGATATTTTGAAGAAATCCATGATCAGGAAATGAAAGCAACAACTTCTGCCCATTATTTGCTTCTCAACAATTATTATTTTTATTCAGAGGAACAGTTGCTTTTAAACATTTAATTATCACAGCTAATATTAAAAGATATCAAAATCTCTTTCTAAAATTACATACACTTTGTGGGTCAAACAACACTGTATCTTAATTATACACTGTACACAGAAGGGTTTTCTTCTGCTCTGCTGAATGTGACTGTCAAACAGATGGAGGTCCTGCTCTGTTTGGTACGGCCAGTGGCTGCTAGGAAGGGGCCCTCCAGCTTTGGCACATTCTCCCCGGAGAGCTTTGCCTGGTGCCTCTTTCTTGACTCCAGGCCAAGTCCTTTTTATTCCCTAAAGCCTTTAATCCTCATTTCCTATTTGTACTGCAACAGTATTTCTGCTGGAGATTTTGTAGCTGTTTTATTTGACTGCTGTCCTGTATACGCTGGATTAGGATTTATGTTGTATCTTTAGTTACAGTTTTAAAATTATTTAGATACTAGCTCTTCAGCTTTTTTACTTCTGTTTTTCAAACTGTTAAATAACCAAGTAAATAATAAAACAAGTCAGGGTGGGGAAATTATTGCAAAAGAAAGCAAGAACCCTGAGCAGCAGCGGCAACAGCTTCCTGCTGGCTGGCTCTGGCCCTGGAGGCGGGATTCGCTGTAGGAGGGAGGCATCAGCAATGCAGTTTAATTGTGTGGGCAGTGAACTAGGAGGCAGCTGGCTGTGAGCACCTGTTTTGTGAAGGAGGGGGAGGAGAGTTTTACCCTAAATTCTCTTTCTAAACAATGGGGGGAGGGGGGTGTTACTGTTACCTGTATACACTTCCCTTTGAAATTTGACAAGGGGAGGAGAAGGGAGTTCATCCTTTTGCATGTTACACCCCTTTCTCAGAGGTAGGGTTTCTTTAGCTTACTGTTTCTCATATGTAGCAGGCTAGAAGAAAATCATGTTACCACTACAGGCAGATCACAGCATACAATTCTTCACAGATGCAGCAGGCAACCCTGAACGCCTCTCTCCTTAGTCAACGTTTCATCTGTGGTTTCACTGCCACCCTCCATTTTATCAGTAGTTTCAGGCACAGACCATCTGCCATTTTGTGTAGTGGTTCTGATAAGAAATACACCTGATCCCACATAAATCCACCTAACCCTCTCTAAAGCTTATTGCCTTTATAATTGGGAGAGGCTTGTTAAAGGAAACTATTCTTTACCGTAGAACATATGCTTTTCAATTCATATGGACATGGATCCACAGCTGCTTAAAACAAAACACAATAATTAAGTGCTTGCTTGGTGTGCATCTCCCCCTTGTTCCAACTTCAAAAATGATCAAGATGGTTTGCTGTTTCAGTTGCCCTGTGTAGCACAACTCTGTGTAGTACACAAACCTGTGTGAATTCAAGCAGAGAAGGCTAGAAGGCAATTAATTGACTTTCTGTAGAGGAAACGCACAAATTACCAAATTTCCGACTGAACAGATCATTCACTTGCTCTCTCAGTTGTCGGGCCTTCTCTACTTTGGAGGTTCTCTCATCATCATCTGCAAAACGTAAAGAGGCAAGTCCTGTATTTGGATTGTTTTTATCATGACTTAAAGACTTAAGATAATCTAATGATCAATCCAGGGGGAACTCATTGGGATTGCTCCATCTCCTTGTAGTGGACGGTGCTTTCATTCCTGCTGTAATCCTGGCCCAGCTGGTTTGCTCTTTGGGGCTTGAAGAAATGGAGAGAAGGGAGACTAGAAGCAGTCTCATAAATAAAATAGTGGTTTGGGGTGTGGTGGAAAATGTTCTGGGAAATGAACACACTCCAGGCGTGGTAGCTCTAGACCAAAAGCTGTTTGGGGGGGAGGGGAATAGGAGGGGATACATATATTCTAAAGAAAGAGGAAGTATCAATTAATAAAATGGATGGGGTACTTGCTGACGGGAGGAGGGGCAGGTAAATTGTTGCTAGCAGCTGATTATCTGCTGAGTGCCCACTGGGTATAACCCTTATTCATGGTTAGCTTAAAACATGTATAAGCCTGTTTTATGTTCAAAGGAAAATAATGTTCTAACTACTACTAATTGCCCTTACCCCTTTTTAAAAGGCAATTGTGTTTCTGAGTTAGAGCAAAAATGTAAACAGAATTTAAAAAGTTTTACTCAACAGCTTTTAAAACTATTGAATTGTAGAAAGTGGGCAGGGTACCTGGTATTGTCACCTGAATGATGTTAAGGTCTTCTACTCCAGCAGCTGTGTTCACCACTGGGTCAGGCACACTTACAGCATTTATCACAGTGTTACACAAACTGGTTCTTCCTTATAAAAGATGTAAAAGCAAAGCATTAGCTCCAAACCTCTCAAATAAACCCCATTCTCATTTTTAATAATGCAACTGCACAGCGAAAATGTTATAAAAGATAAACCAGAGATGCAAATGTAAGAATTAGCTGAAGGATGACAGCTGTAACTAGAGACAGATCAAAACCTGTTTCCTACTACAGAAGGGTGAAGGTGCCGCAGAGATCTGCAGCTTTTGAATTTTGAGCACTGAGAAGGAAATACAGACCAGCACGGAGAGTGGCAGCTAGAGATCTGGATAAATAATTAATGAAGAAAGCAGAATATCAGTAGGCCACAGCTGATGTTGCAGCTACTTCCTTGTAGCTGCAAATTCAATTGGAATCAAGAATCTGATTTAAAAGCCATTGGTCAGTTGAGATGTGCAGTGCCCACTTGTGCTTGTCTACTGAAGTCTGGTTTTGTACAGACAGAACAGCAGGATACATAGGAAATGGAGATATTTCTTAATGAATGTACCCTTTTCCTCTGGGAGCTTAGTATCAAATATGGGGCCTCTCACATGATATACAGGTAGTCCTCGCTTAATGACCATTCATTCAGCGACCATTCGAACGGCACTATAGCAGCACTGAACAAATGGTAGCTATGCCCAGTCCCTGAAGTTACGGCTGCTGCAGAGCCCCATGGTCAAGTCATCAAAATTTGGATGCTTGGCAGCCCGCCCACACTTACGAATGCAGAGGTGCTTCAATTCCGCCCACCTACCTATCTCCCCAGCACATCTCTGCCCTTTTGGCCTCCGTGCACTCCAATGCCTCTGCTGGCCCTGCCACCCTGGACTCTGCTGGCCCTGCTGCCCCCAGCTGATCCATCTTCTTCCTCCTGCTGCTGATGAGGTGCATCTGGTCTGGCCCTTCGAGAGGCAGCTGTTGGCTGCACCAGGCCTTCTTCCCAAGAAAGAAGACCACACACAGCCAGCAGCTGCCTCGGGAAGGGCCAAGCTGGGCATGCCTCATCAGCAGTGGGAGGAAGAAGACAGCAAAGGTCAGCTGGGAGTGGCAGGGCCAGCGGAGTCCAGGGCAGCAGGACCAGCGGAGTGCAGTGTTGGCAGAGGCAGTGGAGTACAGGATGACCAAAAGGGCAGAGATGGGGGGAGAGAGGTGGGTGGGGGGAGCTGAAGAAGAGGCAGTCCCTTACTTTACCGAGGCTCGTGGCTGGGAGGGACCAAGCCCGAATGGCTTGGATTGGGGTGGGTCCTTGCCTAATGACTGGTGGGATTTGTTTAATGATGGCAACAGGGACTGCTGGGATTGCTAACTGCTAAGTGATGTGGGCACATGACATCACACTTTATGACCACATCGTTTAGCAATGGAAATTCCAGTCTCAATTACTGTCGTAATTCAAGGACTACCTGTATGTTGGACTGAAAACAGACTGGCCCAAAGTCATCTAGCAAATTCTGTGGTCACGTGGAGACTCTTCCAAAAAACGTAGATTTATTTGTATCACTCTTTAAGAACATCCACATTCCTGATTCGAAACCACATAATTATGAATTTATGAAGAAAGAGAATTACTGCCTTCTGAAGCAGAAGAGGTGAAACTCACTTTGAGGACTTGGAATAGCAGTAGCATTTTCTTTAATTGCTGCCTCAAACATTTCAGGCCTGCAGAGAAACACAGTTAAGATTTGGCATAAGAAAATAAAGAAGCAAAATCAACAAGCAGTTTTATTTCTCTCCGAGGGCAAAGAAATTACAAGCAGCTCAATATAAGAAGCACAAGGGCAGAATATTAAATGTGGTCAAAGGGTAGGAAGGATAATCTCAACACGTTCACTCCCGTTTACTCGAAGTCATGCTTTCCAAACCCTGTCCCATTCACAGAGGTTCAGAAATGCCATGTCGTCCTTGAGCCAAAGGTTAAAGCAAAACTCAGGGCAACGCTTTAGCTGGTCTATGTGCATCCTAAACGGAGAATTTCCTTATAACTTCACCCAGATGCTACGCATGGAGGCACTCTTTGTGGCCCTTCGAAAACAGAAACCGAACTCCTAATGATAACAAGAAGTAACCAGAAAGGGACTCCAGAAAAATGGGGGGGGGGGGGGCC